GGCGTGGACTAAAGTTTTCAGTGCTGCGCTGCGCGTGAAGGGATAAACCCACTAGCAAAAGCCTTAAAGAGCGAAGCCTATACGAAATAGAACATCATTCACAGGTTGAACAGGTCATGGAAAGATGGACTTCATTGGACCGAACTGGTATTTTACTATGTTTACTAGTTTTTACTTAATCACAACTGCAGTTTTATGACATTTTACTACTAAATGTTTAATTTGCAGTGTATGTTTGAGCTTTTCAAATTTTTTTTTAAAATTATCAAACAAACGTTACACTTCTAATATAGTTTATACATCAAAATGTTGAATGTTTTTGTCCTTTTTTACTCAGTTTGTCTGTCACTACTATACATGAAATAAAGTTTTCTCTCCAATCCCCTCTGAGTGCAGCGAGCACTCACCCAACCTCTCATAGACTTCCATTGTATGCAAGGTGGACCTTCCCTTCATCACATGATGCAAAAGTCTTCACATCTTGTCATATCTCACTGATAAAACACTGCAGATGTGTGAAAATTTCATGCGCAGCAGAGGTGTCTATCTATCACAGCCACCTCTGCTGCTCATCACTTATTTATAGAAGAGTATTGTTGAGGTTTTGAGTAGAATTTGTTGTAGTTTTTTTGTTACTGTAATAATTATTTCTATTGTTTTATGACGTACTACTTTATATGATAATACAACTATTCTATGACATCCCAACAGTCAGTCCTAAACAGTTACGCACTTGAACTGCTGCACTTTGAGCTCAACGCTCAGCAAAACTTTTCATTATTCTATAAAACACATTTGTATTAATAAAGAATATTTCTGCAGACGCATGAAACAAACCCCGGTGGTGTAACGAAGAGTTACTGTACGCTGTGAGCGCCTCGTATCAGTAGAGGTGTGTTTGCAAACTTTCTCTCATCTCCTTTTAATTGTAAGTGTGTGTAGATGCACACTTGGATCACTCCCTTCAGTTCACCGGTAACCCCCTGCAGAGAGACTCCAACACCCACAAGTGGAGCAGTGTCTGGTTTCCTCAGACAGCTGAAGTGTCCTGATGCTAATGAAGTCTGAACAGAAGCTCCACACAGTGGTGGTGCGGTGGGAAAGGGGAGGGGTTAGAGAAAGAAAAAGACTGAAGGGGTGGGGGGGTGGGGGGGTTCAGTGCCGGCCTGCAGGTTGAATGATCAAGTTTGGCAGAAGGAGAAAGACGGAGAGTGGGAAAAGGAGGGCGGCCTGAAGAGGTTCAGTCTGATTCTCTGCTTCAGCTTCTTAATTTCTCCTCATCTTTGCTTGTTTTTATCCTGTCCCCTCCACCCTCCTTCCTCTGTCCTCTTCTTTTAATTCTATCATGTTTGTTGTGGAGACTGATGCTCAAACCTGAGCCGACAGAACAAGATGAGCGATGAAATACAGACAATTAAAATCAGGGCGCGAAAAGGGATTATATTTTGAAAAAAGGGTTAAAGTGGAAGAGGAAAATCAACATTTTAAAATGAAACGTTTGTAATTCACGCGGATGTTTTTTTGCCATCCTTGCTCGCTGTCAGGTATAAGAACGTGGAGCGTCAGGCAGCGGAGGAATACGAGCGAGATCGTGTCCGAGTGTCGAGAACTCACCCTGACCTCTGTCTGCCCTTCGAACCCTCCGAGGCCTGGCCCTCATCATCCCGTAGCAGCACCCCATCCTCGTTCACCTCCCGTGAGGACGCAGAAGCTGATCTTGAAGCTGAGGCCCCCTCCACAGCCTACGCACCCTCTGAGAACGGTAAGAACTTCCTGTTGAACAAGTAGGTTCACCTGTTACACATAATATTAACAAACTGAGAAGAAGTATGATGATAAGAAGCATTTTTTTGCAAAAACTGTAAACACTGCATGTAAACCACTCAGGCTTCATGCAATATTGTGATTTTTCTCAGAGGGGATGACAATTATTCCCTATTTTTGAAGAACATACTTTTTTCTTTTTTTTTTATTTGGTCTGACATAAAGCTACATTCAAGTGTCCACACAAAAAAAATGTTTTTATTTGTAATTTCTAAATCTATCCTTGTAAGGATGGCCCTATTTCTATAAATTACTCTAAAATGGTCCAAAATGCTGTAGTAACTATGCCAGGGCTGTATGTGGCGTTGTAACGCAATAATAAACCCAAAACAGGAAACAAGGCGGAAAGCGTGTACATAAACTGTCCATGTTGAGTGTGAAATGTAAACTCAAGAAGAAGGGGAGGACTCCCAAATGTTGTAGGTTAGAGGTGGAGACCTGTCAATGTTTTCAAAAAGTTGCAACATGGCTGTCCACACACAAAACCAACAGAGTGGCATGTCAAGATGTTTACACGCTAAAACAGGTTTTCAAAATATACCATTTTGGAGCTCCTAAGACACTGTTTCCTGATGGACACATACCTTAGATGAAACAATTAAAAACCAAGTGTAGACAAGAATTGCATTTTTGTCACAGTTTGCTAAAGCCTGTTCCAAAATATTGGATTTTTTTTTTTTTATTATTTTTGTTTGTTTGTTTTATGGATGCTGGCAACACTTCATTGCCTGGAGGATTTTCTTCACAATAGCTTTTTGCCAAATAAAGCAAAGCCCTGCTCAACCTTAATGCTGAAAACTACAGAACAACTTGGAATGAGTGATCTACCGTAGTTATTGCTACATAGAGAAATTCACTTAGGCAAATCTAAAATGGTCCAAAATGCTGTAGTAACTATGCCAGGGCTGGTGTTTTAAACAAATGTTAGCTAGCTGTGTTGTGATGCTAACAATAGTCTGAACATAAACTGGAGCAGGCATTTATTTGATATTCTTTATGTTTCTCTGTAATATTGTTACTGATAACATTTGTGTTAGCATTTATCAAAATGTTATTTTTATTTATTTATTTTATTTTTTCTTGATTAAAAGTCTTGCAATCCTCCAGCTAACTCCAGTGGGCGCTGAAGTCCCATCTCTCATGCTAGTTTCCCTATTATTATTTTCACTCAAGGTTTAACATGAGGTGATTTAAAAAAGTTTAAAACCTAATTTTGTGTTGAGTTAGATTGAATCAAATGAAGCTTGTAACACACAGCTTTGCACCCTTTTGTTAGGAAAGAACCTGGACAAATATATATCTTAAACACAAAGCAAGTTGTATGTTAAATCAGACCCTGTTTTATATTCGGTTTTACTTTAAATATGACCAAAATCTACAAAGTTAACACCATGTTATCTAAACAGACTTAATGATGATGATAATAATAATAATAATAATAATAATAATAATAATAATAATAATAAT